ATAACCTTAATATACTTAATAAACTTAAAAGTATTATTAATATTTTAATATTATAATAATAAAATAAGAAATTCGGAAAGAGTAAAAAAAAAATCTAGAGCTATTAAAAAAAATAAAAAGTAAGGCGTAGTTTTTAGCTATTTAAAGAGTAATTAATATATTAAAATAATACGGTTATTGATATTTTAAGTTTAGTTAGTATTAATAATTAATAACGGCTATATTAGCTATAGCCGGCTATTATTAATTAATTCAAAGTCTTATTAAAATACGTAATAAAAACTTAATATTAACTTTAATAGACTAGCTTGCGTATAAAGGCGAAGATGGCCCCTAATAAGGCGGGCTAGACCCCAAAGGGTATACTATATTATATAATTTCTTTTAAAAGCATAATCTTATTAAGGTCGATTTTTTATACTTATAAAGCTAAAAAAAAAAAACTATATATCAATTTAAAAACTGCGTTTTATTAACGAACTATTACTTAATATTTAGTTAAGGATAATTAGTTTAAAAAAATATTATTAAAGTATATATTTAAATAGTTAAGGCCTCTTTTTACGATTTTAATTAGATATTAATTAGTTTTAAAAATAGGGAGTCCTCTCTTTTATATTTGTTTTTTTATTCTACTTTTACTAGCTACTCGGGCAGGTCTTAGTATCGTTTATATAATATTAATATATAGTATTAATAAACACTCTTACTATCTTAATAAACTTTTTTTTTTTAATTTTTCTAATTTTTTAACTTTCCCTTTTATAAAGCTTATATTTATACTTAGATATATTATTAATAATAATATTAAGTACTTAACGCTACTACTTTATAAAACTATTACGTACTTAGCTAAGTTAGCTATTTTTCTAAGTAATAATAGCTTATAATGACATAATATTAAAAATACCCTTATTACCGTTATTAAAAATAATACCGACCTTCTTATTATTAATATATACTTTTAATCTTAACTCGTATATATATATATATATATATATATATTCGTTACCTAGTTTCTTTTATTAAAATTAAAAAAATGCTTCCTTTATTATTTATTATTATTATCTTATTACTATTACTCTATTACTATTACCCTATTATTATTATTATTATTAAATTATTTTTTTAAATATATATTATTAAAATACTAAAACGCTAATAACTTATTAGTTTATAAAAATACCTTAGGGTATATACTTAGTAATTCGATTTTATTAATATTATCTTTAAAAACCCCGAACTATAATAAAGTCGTTTTAAAAAATATAAATTGAATATTATTTACTTAAAGATTTAAAATATATATATTAATATAAGTATTACTCTTATTAATACTTAACTTATATAATATAGCTTTAATAAAATACTTAATTAATTATAAAGTATAATTAATATTTTAATATTATAATAATTAAATAAGAGGTTTAGAGAGATTAAAAAGGATATCTTAGAGTAATTAAATAAGTTAAAAAATAAAAAGTAGGTTTTAGTTATTTAAAAAGCTATTAATATGTTACGTTATTGATAATAGGATAAGCTATATTGATAATTACGGCTAGCTATTATTAATTATAAAGTTTATTATATAATAAAAACTCGGTATTAACCTTAGGAAATTAGCTTACTTATAAGGGTAAAGTAAGCCCTTAATAAGGCGGGCCGGACCCTAAAGGGCTCTCTCTTATATTAATAACATACTATAGGGCGTATTAATAAAATAATAATAATTATTATTATAACAGTTTAAAATAAAAAAATAACAAAGTTATTAATAAATACTTATTAATAGTTTAATATAAATAAAAAAGAATTAAATAGAGCTAGGGTTATTATATTAAAATAATATATTTTATATCCCGTTATAAAAAAGCTTTTAAGTATTATAACTAGCTAGTTATAATAAGTATTTATTTCTTTTTTCTACTTTTACTAGCTACTCGAGTAGTTCTTGATTTATTTATACTATATTAATATATAGTATTAATAAATACTCTTACTATTTTAATAAACTATTTTTTTAGATTTTCTATTTTTTTAACTTTCCCTCTTATAAAGTTTATAATTACGGATTATTAATAATAATATTTAATACCTAATACTATTACTTTATAAGCCTACGTACTTAGCTAAGTTCCCTACTTTTTTAAGTAATTATAACTTATAATAGTAATATTAGAAATACCCTCGTCGCTATTATTAAGAATAATATTAACTTTATAATATCTACTCTAGTACTCTTAATTTTAACTTATATACGTATATATATTCGTTACCTCGTTTCTTTTATTAAAATTAAAAAACGCTTCCCTCGCTATTTATTATTATTACCCTATTATTATTACCTTATTACTATTACCTTATTATTATTATTATTATTAAATCGTTTATTTTAAATATATACTATTAAAATACTAAGATACTTAGTTATCGTTAACCCTTAGGACTTCTTTAATAATTAGAAGTTTAATTTTATCAGTATTATATTAAAAAACCCCGAACTATATTACGATTATTTTAAAAAATACGAATTAAATATTATTAATTTAAAAATTAAAAAGAGGTATATTAATATAATTATTACTTTAATTAGTACTTAGCTTATATAATATAATAGCTTTAAAATACCTAACTAATTTTAAAATATTATTAATATTTTAAAAATATAATATAAGAATAAAATAAAAAGAATTAATTTTTTTTTTTAAAATTATTAAATAGGGTAGAAAATAAGAGGTAATTTTTAGTTCTTTAGAGGGTAATTAATATATTATAATAGCGGGGTTATTAATATTTTAAGTTTAGTTAATATTAATAACTTAATAATTAATAACGGTTATACTAGTTATAGCTAGCTATTCTTAGTTAATATAAAGTCTTATTAAAGTATATAATAGAAACTCGATATTAACCTTAATAAACTAGCTTGCTTATAAAGGCGAAAATAGCCCTTAATAAGGCGGGCCGGACCCTAAAGGGGTCGTAGTAAGTATATTAATAAAAGTTAAGGCTACGAGTACTAAGTAAATAGTATTATAGTTATAAATAGCTCCCTAAAGCTATATCCTTAAGTTATAAAATAAATAAAGCTTTAGTAATTAATTATAATTTTATTAAAAAGGTTCTTAATAAAAATAGTTAAAAGCAATCGTAAGATTTAATACTAAGTTAATTATTAAAAAAGCTATAAAAAGTCTATTTTTAAACTTGATTTAAGTTTATATTATATATAAATCTCGTCCTTAAATATATTTTTTATAATATCCTTATTTATTATTATTAAACTATTTATTAAATAGTTATTTATTTTATTTATTTATAATTATCTATTTTATTTATTTATAATTATCTATTTTTTATTTAATTATATAATTATAATTAGTAACTTATTTATAGTTCTTTTATTTTAAGAGGAGTTATTTTAAGTTCGTATTTTTATATATATAATATAATAGTTATTATAAGTCTTATAGGGCGAGGCTTTAGTTTTATTATACATATTAAGTTATAATATTAACTTCTTTTTTTAAAAATCTAATCCCCTAGGCTTATAAATAGGTTATTTATTTTTAAATTAAGGAATCGTTAAGTATTTTTATTTAAAATTTATTAATACAATATTAAGTTAAACTAAAAAATCGAAGTTTTAAATAGTTACGTTTTATTATAAATTATTATATATTATTTATTTTCTTAATTAGGGTATTAAAATAATATCTTATCTAAATTATTATTCTCGGGGGATTTATTATTTAGTTCTTTTTAACTCTAATATTTATAGAATATATTATTATTTAAGTATTTTATATAATACTTTAATTAATATTATTTATATTTATTAATATTATAGTTTTATTTAATAAATCTAGCTAATTGAGTATAGTTAATTAATTAGTAATAGAGTTTAATTATTTTAATTATAAAAAAGAAGTAGAAGAGTTACGGTTTTATAAAAAAACTATAGAGTTATAAGAAAGGGCTAAGGCTTATTAATAAGCTTAGGCTAAGTTAAGTAAGTTATTATTCTAATTAAAACGTTTTAATTTTTAAAAATAAATAGTATTTAAAAAGAGTTAAATTATATTAAAAGAGTTTCTTAAGGATTTTAAAAATACTTTTTGAGTAGCTCGGGAAGTATAAGTTAATAATATTTTTAAAATTATTAATTAAAATATTATAATAGCTAAGAATTCTAAATTTAATTTTAATTTTAATACTTTTTAAAAAGCTATTAGAAGTTCTAGAAGTTCGTAATAAATTTTTATATATATTTTTTTATACTCGTAATTTTTCTATTTAATAAGGAATTTTTATATTTTTTTCTTAATTTTATAATTACTACTTTATTTAATTTTATATTTTAATTAATTTAGTTTAATAATAATATAATTTTTTATATATAAACCTCTTAATATAAATTTAAATAGTAAAATGTAAAAAATAAGATAGTATTATATTATATTTAATAATCTTAATTCATAGTTAATTAATTAGACTTTTTTAATAATTTTAAAAGGTCTAAGTGTTTTATAATTTAATTTATTATTTAGGTATTTTATTCTAATATTATAATAAGAGAGATAAGTACTATCCCCTTTTTTTAAGGATAGTCCTCTAATTTTTAATTTATTTATATTCTTTTTTATATATTATTATATAAACTTAAGGTTTAATAAGGCTTATTTATAAATCTTTTAAAGTTTATTTATATTTATTATAACTTTTATAGCTTATAATCCTTATTATATTTCTTTATATATTATTAATTAGAATCCGTAATTAAAATAAAACGGGGATTCTCTTTTACTTTTATTAATTATATTATCATATACGAACTAAGTTATCAATAAAAATACTATTTAATTATCTTAGTTATAGTTTATATAATAATAAAAATATATTTTAAGGATCTAGTTAATCCTTTTTATTTATTTCTTTATTTATAAATAAAATAATATTAATAGTTTATAGTTTATACTAAGTTACGAAATTAGAGATTTTTAAAATTTTAAAATAAATAGTTTATTTTTATTAAAAATAATTTCTTTTAGTAATTTATAGTTCGAGAATATAACCTTAGTAAATACGTATAACGTAGTTAATAAGCGAGTTACTTAGATAAGCGAGCTACTTACCTAACTACGACTATTTTATCTTTTACTTTTTATTTTACGTAACGCTATAATAAAACTATAATATTATAAACTAAAAAAGCTTAGTTAAACTTAGCGATCTAAGCTACTAAAAAAACCTTAAAACTAAGTATTCGGGTAATAGCTAAGATCTATTTAATCTTTTTTAGGATTTTAAGTACTTATTTAAAAAGTATACTTATATAATAAAATACTATACTAAACTTATAGAAATTAATTATATTTTAAAAAAAAGAAGCTAGTTAAGTATATTTTTAACTTAGATTTCTAATCGTTTCTTTTTTATATTAATAATATAAAAAATATAACTAACTAACTATTTACTAATTATAACGCGCCCCTAGTTAAGAAGCGCTAAGCTTCGAACTTCGTTAAGTAATAATTATAGCTCTAAATACGCTTTTTTTATAAATATAACTATAAGAGGGCCTAATACAAAGACCTAGATATAATAAACGCATAGTTTTACCTTATAATAAATATAATTATATCGCTATTAATAATCTTGAACTTTGCAGGAGGAAAAGTTAAAAAGGTAGAAAATCTAAAAAAATAGTCTATTGAGACAGTGAGAGTATGTACTAATACTGTGTATTAATACTATATAATCGATATCGAGAACTGCCTAAGTAACTAGCAAAGGCAGAACATAAAATCAAATAAATATAATTACGAAATACGGTATTATAAAGTCCGATATTTATAACTTTAATAAGACTAGCTTTATAATAAGCTAGATTATATTTAGAATAGTTATTATAAATATAAAAAGGTATTTAAATACGAAAATAATATAGCTTAGTAATTATAAATAGGTTATAGTTATTTAAGCTATTAATTCGTTAGGTTATAGCGTTTTGCTATATATTATCGTTATAGGGTAATTTTACCTCTCTATTTAGTATACGGAATCCGGTTTACTACGTAATTAGGTTATTATAATATTTAAAAATAAATAAATAATAAATAAAAGAGGCCTAAATTAAGTAAAATACTTTAAATGGTATATAAAACTACGTATAAAAAGTCGATATTACCTCCTCGTTATTAATAAAAATAAAATTATTACTCTATAAATTTTAAGTTATATTATAAAAAGAATAGTATTATTACTTTTTATATATCAGCTTATTCGTCCTATTTATTATAGTTTTTAAATATTAAATATTTTAGGCTTTTAAAAACGGCGTATAAACGAGGAATTAAAAAAAAATATAATAAAATAATACTCATATTACGAAAGAGGACTTCTTCCCTACGTTTTATAAAGTATTTATATAAGTAATTATAAAAAATAATATTTAAAGAGGATTTAGAGGAGCTAAGTTTATATTTTCAAACATAAAAAATATACTTTTTAAACTTAACTTAAAGTTATATACTCCGACGTTTTTAAAATCCCTTTTAATAATACCCTTAGCTTAGACTTTTTAAATACTAAATAACTTAATAAAAGTATTTTTATAGTTATAACTTATTAAAAATTAAATTACTTATTATTAAAATAGCTCTTTAACTTCGATTATCGAAGCTATAAAGTATTTATTAAAAGGAGTACGAGGATTTATATACTAAATTTATTACGAAGATAACTTTATTTACCTTATTATTCGCCTTATTATTAATATTACGTAAATAATATATATACTATAATAATCTATATTTTCTATAGATTATTATAGGTATTAATTATATAAGTAATACTGCTTATATAAGCTTACGTAAACGATGGAAAGTACTGGAAGGTAACAGAATAAGCTAGAATCCTCTCGAGACGGAATTACGTACTACGATTACGCATTCACTTATGTATGCGCTTATTAATTATTTTATAATTAATAAGTAATAGAATATTCTAGTAAGAGGTTTTTATGCCTATATATAGGCGTATATTTACCTACTTAGACCTTTCGTTAAGTAAGCAACTTCTTATATAGTAATTTAACTATATTACTCTCTTTACCATAAAAACCTCTTCTATATACGCTTATTACCCCTATATTCATATATTCTTACTTCTATATAAATATTTACTTTTTATATTTTTTTATAAGAATATCCCGTACCTTATTATAGCTATACGTACTAGAAAATTACCTTATTAAAATTAGAGAACTAGATTTTTAAAAAGAAAATAACTTACTTAGCTAATATAAGAGGGCTAAGAAAATACGTTTTAAATAAAAAAGAAGTTTTATAATAATTAATAAAAAAGACTTTTAGTTATAAAAAGAGGTAATAATTTAAATTAAAAAAGAAACGTATTAGAATAGTAATTATTAACTAAGGACTAAGACGGATTAATAACGATATAACGTTTATAAAAATACTAATTATAATACGTAAATATATTAAATTACTAAAGAAATATCTAAAAAAGAGGATATTAAATAATTTTAATTAAATTACTTTTCTGAATACTATTTATTAGTTATAAATATAATACAATTACGGTTAAGTAAGTAGCTTGCTTATCTAAGTAGCTCGCTTATTAACTACGTTACTAGGTTTTTTATAATACTTAATTTTTTATAAAAAATAAAATATACGAACTTAGTAAGTTAATTAATTATAATTAAGATATTATTATACTATATTTTAATAAATAGTTCTTTAAACGTTAATAGTTTAATAATAAAGTCTTATATAATTAATTACTATATTTCTATAAATAGGTATAATAATTATAGCTCGTTATATAGTTTATATAGGCTATTTTTACTTTTTTTATAAGTTATATAGTTTTTAATTATTTTTATAATTTTAATATATATAGCGGATTTATTATAATACTAAACAATCCGTTTTTATATTTTAATAACTCCTTAATAATTATATCTTAATATATTATAAAATTTTATAATAAGCTTAGGGGTTTTTTTTTAATCGGGCTAGTATTAATTCTTTTAGCTATTATAAGGAGTTTTATAATAAGTATAAGACTTCTATTTTTTTTATTGAAAAATAATTTAAGTTTTTTTTAAAGACTACGATTTTATAATTAAGTTTTTAATTAAAAGTATTTATCTTACTATTTTTTGAACTTTTTTAATAAATAATTTAGAAATTATTTTTTTGTTTATGTTTTCTACCTCTGCTGGCTACTCGGGCGGTTCTCAATATCGATTATACGGTACTAATACACAGTATCAATGGATACTCCCACTGTCTCGATAGACTAAATTTAGAAATTATATTTAAATAAGAATTCGCTCTATTTAATTTATTATTTATTTAAGTTTTTATTTATTATAAAGTTTATAAGATTTTTATAATTTATATAAACTATAACTTCGTATTTAGTTTTAAATAACTATAATCTCTATTTTGAAAATACTTTAATAATTATTATTAATTCTTTATTATAAATTTATTAATTTAATTTTACTTTGTAAAATACTTTAAAATAGAAATAATATAAGTAAAGCTTTTTTTATTTATTTTATTATCTTAAAACTATTTTTATAGCAAAGTTTAAAGTATTAGTCTTAATTTTAAAAGATTTTTAGGGGTCTAGGATTATTATAACTAATTTAAAAATAACTATATTCTTAATTTTAATAAATACTTTTTTATACTTAGGGTCCTAAATAAATAGGGTATTTTTTCATATTAAGTTATTAAAAAGTCTAATTATATTAATATAGCTTTTAAAGAATTATTAATAAAAATTAATAAATCTTAAAAATCTTTATACGTTTTTAACGTTTTATGATATAGGTTAGTCCCTAATTACTTAAATTCTCAATATTTATATATAAGTTTATCTTAGTATAATAATATATCTTAAGAAATTTACTTTTTATATATAAAACTTATATTTAGAGGGTTTAATATTTATTTTTTTATTCTACTTTTACTAGCTACTCGGGCGGTTCTTAATTTATTTATATAGTATTAATATATAGTATTAATAACTACTCTTATTATCTTAATAAACTATTTTTTTAAATTTTTTACCTTTTTAACTTTCCCTTTTATAAAGTTTATAACTACGGATTATTAATAGTAATATTAAACGCTTAACGCTATTATTTTATAAGCTTATTATATACTTAGTTAAGTTCTTTATTTTTTAAAATAATTATAGTTTATAATAGTAATATTAAAAATACCCTCGTTATTATTATTAAAAATAATATCGACTTTATAATATCTACCCTAGTATTCTTAACTTTAACTCGTATACGTATATATATTTATTACCTCGTTTTTTTTATTAAAATTAAAAAACGCTACTTCCCTTATTATTTATTACTATTACCTTATTACTATTACTTTATTACTATTATTATTAAATCGTCTACTTATTCTTAAATATATACTATTAAAATACTAAAATACCTAGTTATTATTAACCCCTAGGACTTCTTTAATAATTAGAAGTTTAATTTTATAAGTATTATATTAAAAAACCCTAAATTATAATACGATCGTTTTAAAAAATACGGATTAAATATTATTAACTTAAAAATTAAAAATAAGTATATTAATATAATTATTACCTTAATTAGTACTTAGTTTATATAATATAATAGTTTTAAAATACCTAATTAATTTTAAAATATTATTAATATTTTAAAAACGTAGTATAAGAATAAAATGAAAAAGATTAAAAAGAATATTCTAAAATTATTAAATAAAGTTAAAAATAAAAAATAGTTTTTAGCTATTTAGAGGGCGATTAATATACTATAATAGCGAGGTTAATAATATTTTAAATTTAGTTCATATTAATAATTAATAATAGTTATATTAATAATAATAAGTTTTCATTTTCTATCCTTTTTTAATATAAAGAATAAAAGGAATTTTATAAGAGAATTTAATAATTTAATATATCTCTTTTTAAGCTTCTTATTAATATATTTATTAAAATATTTTCATTATTTTTAATTTATTAAGTATATTAAATAGAACCTAAGTTACGTTCCTTTTTT